AATAAAAACAAAAAGAAAATCTCGTTTTTTTTTTTTTTTAAAAATAAAACGACGATATAATTACATAAATTTATTAATAAACGACAATAAAATAATAATAATAATAATAATAATAATACTAATAAATAATAATAATAATGATAATAATAACCTTTCGTTTTCGTTTTTTTTTTTGTATTTTTATTTTTATTTTTATAAATTTAATCACGATTTGTTCTCATCGAAAAAAATAAACATTTAAAACCACGTCATAGAAAAAAAAAAGGCGGCTGTCGAAAAGCAACGTTGCCAAATTTTTTATTATTTATTTTTTATTTTTATAACGGCTGCATTGAAATACAATTCATCCATCGTCCGGCAAATACATTTTTTCTATTTTTTTCTCTTTTTTTTTTTACATTAAGAATCATCACCGTCACAGAAATAATAATAATAATAATAATAATAATAATAATAATAATAATAATAATAATAATAATAATAATAATAATACCTTTTACTTATCGATCGAATCACATTATTGTGATACAACTGTCAAAATCAGACGACAAAACATGAACAAACAAACAAAAACAACGAAAGTAATTTTTTCTTTTTTTTTTTTTTTTTTTTTTCGTCCCAAAACGTTAACAAGTTTTCGAATTTAATAAATCGATAGATGTAATATCAAGCGGGGGAAAAAAAATATAAAATAATAATAATAATAATAAAGTAAATAAATATCTGAATGAATATTAAAGAGAGCAGTCAGTAAAAGAAAAAAACTCAAACTCAAACTCAAACGCCTACAAGAAATGAAATCAAATGCATTTTGATGACAGACTCGAATGGGAAAACTTTGAAAATTTTTACGGTTGAATTACAAAAAAAAAAAAATCTTTTCTCTTAAAAATTCATCTTGAGCTCCTCCCCCACTACTTCATCTCAAAATTTTCCCACATTCGTTTTTTTTTCTTTTATACCATCCGCGAAATTTTCCTTTTTTCCGTTTTTCCGGTTTTCGAGGTACGAACGTCATTTAAAATCGTACCAGAAACTTCGAAATATTTTTTTTCGAAAAAAAAAAAAAAAATCCACAATTTATTTATTCTTTTCGAAAATCCAAATTCGAAATCGAACCCAAAACGCAATCGAAAAAATTTTCTTTCTCGATGTAAAAAAAAATAAAATAAAAAAAAACGAAAACGAGAAACAAACAAAATTTTCCTGCTTTCCCGAAAAAAAACAAACCCAACCCGATTTTCTTTTTCTTATGACACGATTTTCCAAAAAAAAAAAAAAAAAAAAAAATTATCTGGGTTAAAATACAATATTAATGCTGAGACGGAAAAGTGAGAGAGAGAGGGAGAGGGTGGGGGGGAGGGGGAATGAAAAAATTGAAGAAAAATAAATAAAATGAAAAATTGAATGAAAAATTGAATGAAAACGAATGAAATCCTTCTTATATATATATATATATATATATATATATACAAGTTACAGAAAAAGTTTTTCTTTTTCCTTTTTCCCTTAAAAGTTTTTCTTTTCCCTCCCCTTAATTTTTGAACAAAATTCGTAAACTTGAAACCTCGACGAAAATAAAATTAGAAAAAAAGAAAAAAATTTGACCTTAACAACAACAACAACGAAAGCAATAAATAACTTTCGCTAAAAACATGATGATGTGTCGTTTTTGTTTCTTTTCAACGGTTAAAAACAAATAATTAAATAACGACGACGACGACGACGATGAGAAAATCATAATGATAATAATATCGGTTTATTTGCGTGTGCAATACTTGTGCATTACACACACAAAATAATAATAATAATAATAAATTGTAATGAAGAGGAGATTCATACACACACACATAGTGGTTTGTTGAACTCTCCCTCTCTCTCTCTCTCTTTCTCTCTCTCTCTTTCGCTCTTATCACAACGAGTGCAAGGTCAAAAATTATTTGTTTACAATAGTGAGCTAGGTATAGTCATTGAATATAAACGTGTGCAGCATTCAACGAAAATTTCAGGCTC